AGTAATTGTGTTTTATAAGAATAGTCAGGTTTTAGTAGGTATTGTATAGTCATATTATTTAAAATGATCAGAAAGTAATGTAGTAAAGTTGGATTTAATTAAGTGTTTAGAGGTACCTTGTTTAGCAAAAAGATCAGCTTGATTATAAAAAGAATAATTAGAGTAGGATTTAACTTTGTAAAAGGTAATTTTGAAAGATTTTGTTTGAATGAAATAGTGAATAATAAATAAAATATCTCAGTTTTTAATATGTAAGAATTTGTATAAGGAAGAAAATAATTGAATGTTTTTTAGGGCTGATAAATTGTCAAGGTGTATATTGCTTTGTGAATTTATTAGAAGAATAAGTAGAAAATAAACAATTGCTTCAAATTCTACTCGAGTAAAGTCAGAATATAAAGATATTGCACAATTAAATTTGATTTGGGTATTATGTTCAGAGATCCATCCAATACCAATTTTTGGATGTGGTATTTGTATATTAATAATTGAAGCATCTGTATAGAAATAAGTGTTATTTAGAAGGTTTTTAGTTAATAGGAAATAGATTAGTAAGTTGGTTTTGATAATAAGAGAAAGATATGTTTTTTTGGATTATTTGAATTTTCATGTCAAAAATGTAAATAGTTGATAATTGAGGTAATATCAGAGTTGAAATTACATGTTGTTGAATATTAATAAGTGCAAAAATTTCAAGATTTTTAATATAAAGTAAATAGTTATTATTCTTTTTTAATAATTTAATATGAGAAATATTAATAGAAGTTTGAAATATTGGTGTAAATAAGTTAGTAGGAATTAGAGATATTAAACCAGAAGAGATGTTATAAAAGGAAAAAAAGTTAAGTAAATTTTTTGTAAAGAGAATTTGTGAGTTATTAAAAACAATAGACTATTTATTTAATGATAATAAGTGATAAGGAATGATTATATCAAAGGAATTGATAAAGGTATTAATATTTGGTAAATTAAGATGTGGCTATATTTGAGAAATTGTATTGTTTTGAATAAGATTAGAAAGTTTAGTAAACTAAGATGAAGTAGGTCCATAAGTAGATTTCTTGATACATATATATATGTTTTTTCATAGAAGGATATATAAATTGTTAGCTGTTGTAAGTTATTTAATAAGAGTATTTTATTGTTTCAAAGACTGTTAATTAGTGAATAAGAATTATTAGATAGAAGAATATTGTATATTGTTTTTGTAAAAATAAAAATATTAACTGGTAATAAATTTAGTGAGTTATTAAATAAAAGAAAAATATTAAAGTTATTTAAAAATGAAAGTTGAAAGATGAATGTAAAGTTTTTTGTTTTTAAAAAAAACTTAGAAGCAGTATTTGAAAGAAAGAAAGGTTGTTATATTTTAATTAGCCAATTTTTAATTCTGACTATACCAATATGTTTGAGAAAAGGAGTAGAATGAAGAATGTGTTCCATTATAGATATTGCTACTTTTTGAGTTAGATGTTGAAAAGTTGAAAGTTTAAATAATAATGAATTAGTAAGAAGAATATTGGATGTATTTTTTGCCAGATGAAGTATTTTTTTTGTTATAATAGAGAGTAGACATGAGAATAGAGATTTGTTTAGATATGAGTTTTTTGAATTTAATTAAAGCAAGAAAGTTTTTGATATTGTTTTGGAGCATCTTATATGTTGATTTAGTTAAGCCATTTCTATCAAAATAAATATTGAGATATTATATAGTTTTATGAAGCTTATGTAAAGATATTATTTGATTATTGTAGTAAAGATTTGGTGTAATAAGGTTTAGTTTGTTTTTGTTTTAAGAGATATATAAAAGGTCAAATTTGGTCAGATTAATTTCAATATTATTTAAATTGTAAACTTTGTGAATATTATTAATAATACTTTATACTATTTAAATTTTTAGGTTGTTGGTTTACTTTGGACAACAAACAATCTAAACAACTACTTATCTTTGAACCCTTTCAATTAATTCAAATTACTAAAACCAAATGTATTACTAACTCATATGCTCATTATATCATTAACATAGTGATTATTCCTATTCTTGAATACTGACTTCAAAATATTATAATCAACCAACCAACTTGCAATAAAATTTTTACTCAGCATATTGGCCTTGTCAAACTTAAAACTAAACTTTGTCATACAATACCTTCTAGCACCCTTCTACATCTACAAATTTATATAATATTAAACACATTTGGAACATCCAACTGCAACACCATATTTCTAATCTTATTAAATGACTTAATAATCCTGACCTATTAGGCACATATACTCATATTCAAATCCAACAATTACAAAACAATCTCTGGTCTCTAACTAGCATTTTCTCTTATCCCAATCCAATTATTGATGGTCTCAACTATTTAACCACAAACTTTAAAATTATACAGCTCATCAAACATATTGGCTGGACATTCTCAACTAATCCAATCTATAATATTCCTTACACTTTACATGATGGAACTATTTCTCTTGAATTTCTCCTTTCCTCTTATTCTAAATATCCTATTTTCAAAAACAACTTAGACATTACAAACTTCTCTCTTTGAACAACTTACTACCTACAATAATTTATATTTATTATATTGGCAACATATTTCTCTCAGACTAAACAAACTTCCTAAAGGTGTTATACCTTAATGGTTTACCATTCTTAAGAAAATTACTACTAGCCATTTCTATAAATATACATTATATAATCATTTTAACCTATTTTAGTCAAACTACTTTTCTTATACTACTGGTCACTTTAATTTTAATATCAAACTTTGGTTACTTACTGTTCTTAATAATCAAATCATTGTTGACAAGGCCAAAAGGCACAATAGCCTTATAGGCCTTACTCTTATCACTCATTAGCATTGTTCATTTTAGTCTTAGTTTTCTAACCTTTATCCTACTTCTTCTTTTACTATGACTATATACTCTGGATGTCATCTTAACTCCAATATAATTACCAACAAGTGCACTATCTTTATTTCTACAAATTTGGCTACAAAATTACTTTATTATATTAATTCTGACAAAACTCTAAACCTACATGCCAATTTTCTTGATATTACATACTCTGTAGCTATTTGACATCTTTTACATATTTTACTATCTCCTTTATTAACAATCAACTCACAACAATTATCTGGCATCTTTTAGCTAAGCCAACTTACTGACAGCCTACAGTCTATCACTAATTCTAATCATAACTTAACTACTATTTCATTTTATACTGATGATTCAGTTATTAAGCTTGGTACCTCTCAATGCTCTATAGGCATAAGTTGTGTTCAAGTAGATAACTCTACAACTACTCATTAATTTCAGGTACAAATTAAACTTTGGCTATGCTTTTTTAAAGCTAAAATTCTTGCTATTCTTTTAGCAATCATTACTGCTTCTAAAAACTGTTCAGTTCATATTTATACTGACTCACAATCTGTAATTTCCAAATATTACAGTATTTGCTCATCAGCTTCTAAACTCTCTTATACTCATACTTCATACTTCTCCATTTGGCAAACTTTCATTAACTTCATTAATTCATATAATATTTAGCTTACTTTTTACAAAGTTACTGTACATCAAGATGATCCATTTAATAATCTTGTTGACCAGCTTGCTCACAGTCACCAAATACTACCCTTCCTAATATTTTTAAGTAACAACCCTTACAACCATACATATACTCTATTTATTGATCAATTTCCTATTGAGATTCCTATTCGACACTCTATATGTACTATCTGTCAAGCTTATATTATAACACTTTGAACATCTCAACATCATTTTCAACAATGGTTTACCATTGCACCCAATATTAACTAAAAAGCCATCTGGCTTTACATTAATAATAATCAAAAAGTTTCTAACTTTGCACATAGTTTCTATTCTTCTACTTTAAAAACCTTTTATGTTAAAATTCTCTTAGATGAATTATCTGTTCCTTATATTCTTCACAAATACAACCTTTCTTACTCTTTTCTTTGCCATCAATGTAATCAAACTAGTTCTTCATTACACTGAACTTTTTGTTCTTCTATTTAAACAATCTATTATTTAATCTCTAATTCTCTTAACTGCATCTTAAATACTACTGCTCTTGACATGTCCACTAATTCTGTTTCTAATTTATTTCAAGAAATTCTTACACTTAACAGTTTTAAACTGCACAACTTTTCTTATACACCATCTCTTATTTCTACTTTATCTGGCCTAGTTCCTATTAACCTTATTTCTACTATTTACAATACTTCTATTTCTTACTATACAGCTATTACACTTTCTATTAAATTTCTTCATTTAAACCAACAAATTTATAAACAAATATGGATCCATATTGTATTTTACAATCAGCTCAGTCTTCTATTACATCTTCTACAAACTTAATTCATAATTCTCCTTCTAATTTACTATTACCTCCTATTTCAATACTACAAATTATCACTAAAATTGATCTTTGGACTATCCAATAGATTAAATATCATATCTCTCTCTTATATATTATTACTAACACCCAAATCTAGGTGAGCCTTAGCCACTCTTGTAGGTTTAGATTACAGATTATATGGGCTAGGTGCTATAGAAAAGGAGGAAATTTTTTAAAATTAATTTTTTTATATAAATTAATTTAAAATACAATCAAGATCATTTTTTATTTAAAACACTAAAGTAGTTTTATTAATAAAATTTTGCAGTATAGTTCTTCAAAATTTATCATTTCTTATAGCTTATTATAAAATTTATAATATAAAAATAGATTTTCCAAAGATCTTTTTTTTTGTTGATTTTTCTCTTTTCTATAACATCTAGCCTATATGTCTGAGTCTTTATTCTTTATATGTAATTTAAAAGCAAGCTTTTCTTTGTAAAAACTTTAATTAAATTTCAATAAAGTTAAAGGCATGGCCTCACCATTAATATTTTTTAAAAAAAAACAAAATTTTGTGTTTTAAGATAACCTTGAGTAATAAGTTCAAACACAGGTCATAATAAAGTGAAAATTTTTATAGTGTACAAATTATATTTTCATTTCTGAGATGTTTTGCTCTTCTATAAATATAGTTTTTTTCAAAATATTTGACAACTTGAATTGCATGAGAAAGGATTAGCAATTTAACTTGATTAAAGATATTTGGTATTTCAGAAAGAGAAAGAAAAGCAAGTGCTATTATCTGATATAGTTCAATACTGAATTCTTTATTAGTATCATATTTAATAACTAATTCAGTAGCTTGGATTTGTCTACAAAGTTTTTGGCAAAAATGAAAAAAACAGCATTTATTTCTTGAATTTGAAAAGTTTAAATAGATAATATTTATTGCAGACTGTTCAAAGTCAGAAAGAATAATTGACAAATTATAATTATAACTAGCTTTCATACCTTGTGACATTATCAAAAAGAGTATAAATATATATATATATATTTTTTTTTATTTATATAATATTAAGTATGAAAATAAGAATACATTTATATATTAATTAGATATAGGTGTATAACTAAAATATTATTTCTAAGCTACACTATTGTTATTCTAAACTATGACATTTAGTATGATATTATATTCTTTAGTTTTCTGTTATTAGTTGAGTTAATTAATATAAACTTAACTACAAGGAGATTAAAAGAAACTCTTAAGATTATTTAATTAATAAAAGCAGTTATGTATAGTGAAGTTTTGAATAAGAGTTTTAAAAATAAAGAGATCTATATCAGTATTGAAAGTAAAAATGGCATTGTTAGAATTTGTAAGTTGAGGAATAGGTAATCTGATATTGTTTTTCTTTTTAGTAAAAGATGTAATTTTTCTTAATAATTCCCATTCATATTGTTTAGTATTATAGGTTTGTCAGATAATAGTGTTGAACTAGGTAAATAGTAAGTTAGATAAAAAAGTAAGAAAATTGTTAGTTAGTTTTTTTAAAATAAGTTGTATTGGCTAAAAGTTATTGTATTCTGAATGAGTAATAGTATTGTGTTATATATATTGAGGTTGAGAGAAGTGTTTTGTGTAATAAGAATTTGTATTATTGTATTTAATTAGATTTCTGTAATGTTTAAAGAGTTTAAAGCATTTGAGATTATTAATAAGAGTGTTTTGTGAATTGTAGAAATAAAGTAAACATTGAAATAAGTGTTTAATACTTTTATATTGATTACTATATAAACAATTTAGGTTAGATAAAGAAGAGGATTGCAGATATTTAGATTTGATATTGTTGGTAAATTATTAAGAAGTATTTTGTTTCTAATAAAATATAGTTTAAGATTAAAGTTTTGGAAGTTAATGATTTTAGTTAATAATAGAATGTTTATAGTTAGAAGGTTTTGTAATAGTTTAAGTTAAAGAAGTTTGTTAAATGTTTGAATTAAGATTAAGTTCTTGCAGAATTTACATAGTTTGTATATGATTGGAATTTCTTTTCAAAAAAAGTAAGTGGGTAAATAGAAGTGGTCAAGATTGAATTTTAATTTAGTTTTGTTGCTACCTTGTTTGGCTAGAGAATCGGTTATATTGTATAAAGTATTTTTTAAATGTGATTTGATTTTGTGTATAGTGTAATTAATATTTTTGAGTTTAATTAAATAATTAAGCATATCTATAATATTTCAATTGTTTATGAATTGTAGTAGTAAGATAGTGCATTTGAAAGTGTTTAAATTATAGATAAGTTATTCTGATAGATATAAATTTGATAATTAGCAAATAGAATAAGGAATAAAGGGATGAGTGTTACTAATTCAGCTTGTGTTGAGTTTGGTATATGAGTTATAGAAGCATTAAATTGGATTTATGTAATCTTTATAAAAGTTCAAATGATGCCTATTGAGATATTATTTGTTTGTAAATTGAGTATAGAGATATCTGTATAAAAGTTTAGATTAGATAATTTTTAAAATAGAATTTTTTTATAAAGATCAATGAGTTGGTTTACTAGGAATGGAGTATGAAATATGAAGTGTATAGTTTATAAAAGAGTTGAGTAGTGTCTCTTTTGTATCTGATTGGATAATCATTTTGTGATTAGGAATTTCTATATTTGTATGCTGCATAGGACTTTGCCCCCTTAAGACAGATACATCCCAGTTTGGAACCATATGATTTTCTGGTTAATTAGATCCGAACACTAGGATCAAGTTATAGCACTAAAGAGATTATATCATAATATTGAAATGTTCTCTAAATAATAATATTTTTGAGTTTTTCTTTTACAAACTTTATTACGAGCCTATATTTTATTCTTCTAAACTAGTCACTATTTTGTGAGCTAAAAAAACTACAATATATCTTAAAGCTTAGACAAACTATTGAATATATGAATCTATCTACAGTATTCTAAAATATACTTCCACTGATCTATAAGTATTGAGAACTGTTAAAGACTAAAGTCATTTTGGAAAACATAATAATTTGTGACCATTAATAATAAAGGATATAGATGCTTTGAATTGAATTCATGAGTTTCATGAAAAATCAACAATGCAATACACATAACCAAAACTTATTTGGTTAAGAGAATCAGAGTCATTTTTAGACCATAATTTACTAAAGCAAAAAAAAAACAGCAGTTGAACATTATGACTATTTTATAATTAGTTTTTAAATATAACTCTTTATATTCTATTTGTAACTTGTTCATACTTGTTTTATTTGTATATCAACTTGAATTATCCGTTCATATATTATCTCATAAATTTTTCTATTTTAAATTTCTAGAATCAGTGTAAACTTTCTATTTCTGTTAAGAAATCTTGATTTAAATTTGCCCCTAAAAAACTGTGGCTTGTTGTTGTAATGGTTTAATCATACTGGTAAAATTTTATGTTCATATATGTATAGGGCTTATCTACAAATAGTCAAAAGCCAATGTGTTATCAATTACTTGATTTGTATATATTGTAGTATGTTATTTTTTTCTGTATTTAATAGTATTATAAGATTTACTAAAAAAAATATATGATCTTATTATTGCCTATTAATCTTTCTGTGTTATGTTTATTGAGAAAAATAACATTAATATCATAAGAGGAAATCTATTTATTAAAGCCTCTTGTTTGATTAAATATTATATAATCTTTTTTCTAAATACGTGATTCCTTTAATTAATTCTGTTATTCTTAGTAATAATGATTTGTATACATTTATGGTGAATCTAATGTACTCTAAATATAATGATAATATTACTTTTTTTTGTTATACAGAATCTGTCTTGTAATACCAATACTTGTTTTATTTGCCTAAAAACTTTTTTATCAGAAACAGAGTTTGTATAATGTATAACATAATGTATGGTTTATCTGAGAGTTAAATGGCCTATACAAAATCTTGGATCTGATTGGATGTTCAATCCTTGTGACTTTATTTCATGATTTCTATATTTGTCCTATGAATTTTTGTATCAATATCATGCAATAAGTGCAGAAGTGGTTTATGTTCACAAAATCTTAACTTTGATTGGTCCACATGACTTATTCATCAAATTTACCAGGAATGAATGCCTTTGTATGCAAAGTCTTGGAATTGATTGGAATGTGTAACTTATTCATGATTTAGTAAAAAAACAAAAATAAAACTTATAAATGAGCATGTACATCTGTAAAATCAAAGATGCAATAATAAACAGTAGTAAAAATAATTTTTTTTATTACAAAAATTAGTGACCCAATGTAAATTTAAAGTCCTCAATGCTAAATATTTTGTAATTTTCATTTTTTTTTATCGAATTTTTTATTAGGCAGATAAAATGATAATCACTAATTGTCAAAGACTTAATCAAAAGAATTTGTCGATCCTTCCTAAATACATAGATATGTTTCGTAGATTTTAATGTTTTTTGCAGGGCCCCAGAATTTTGGGTCAGATTCATCAGAATTAACTAACCAACTATATAGCAGTCAGACATTGACTTCATTAATAGGTTTTTAGGCTCAGTCACTGAATATTCAGATTACAAGTGCTATCAACTTCTTTTATAAAAAGTCATTTTCTTATATCAAAAATGGATTGCAATGAAGAATATGGTTTCCTATAACTGAAATGGAGTCTGTGTAGATTTCCTCCAATCCTGGTTTCGCACGACAATGTTGCACAGCTACTTATTGATAACTAGAATCAGGTATTGTGTTTTGTATTAAAAGAATTTCTTAAGAAGGTATTGAAAGAGAGATTAAGAATTAAGGAACTGATTTGTATAACTTTAAGTAAATATTTTGAATGTTTGAATTTCTTGATTGTTAATGTTGAGCTTGAAATGTAATTGTTTTTTTGTGTTTTGTATTTTAAATTAATAGTATTTTTGTAATTAGTTTAAATTATTGTAAATATTGGAAAAATACAAATTGTGTTAGATGTTAAATTGATAATTTGTTAATTTTAAAAGAGTAATAATGAGTTAGATTTATTTGTTATTTTGCCTATGTTTTAGTTTGAAGATGAGATATAAATTGTCCATATATTTTTAAGATTATTAAATTAAGGTGTGATCAGATTAAATGTATTTAAAAATAGATTTATTGGTAAAAGTTAAATGTTGGATCATATATGTGTTATAAAAAAAGTTGATATTTGGTTTAAAAGTATTTTGAACTAGTTTAAATAGGACCTTGAGGGGATTTGAGGATTATAAATATATGTTTTTTCAAGAAAATAGATTTAGATTGTCAGCTATAAGAAGTTATTCAAGAAAAAAGAGTTTATTATTTTTAAGACTTGAAGTTGTTAAATTACTTAAAAATAAGATAAAGTTATAAATATTGTTTGGTTTGTTAGTTTGTTTATAAATTGATAGTTAAGTTAGATAAGAGTTGTTAAGAAATATATTGTTTTTATATAAGTGATGAAGTTGAGATATTATAGTACTAAACTTTTTAACTGCAAATCCATTGCACAAAAAATTAACTAAAAAATTGTTCATATTAAAATGCTTATAACTATTTATTTTACTAAGACTGATATCTTAAGTAAACTTGTTCAACACAGAATTTTACATATATCTTGAAAATATTATACCTTTAGTTTCAGACTTATTGAGAAAACTGTACTGATAGCCTTTGGTCCCAGTTTTAATAATTAATATTTTTTTACAATTTTTATTGTAATAACCTATCTTATACTCTTAATTAAAGTTGTAATATATATTTTCCTGTCAAAACAAGCCCTAAATAAAGAATTTTGATTCAATATTAACTGAATTACAGCAAATTTCTCTTTTACTCTTTTGTAAAACTTTTTCTTTCTTCTATTTTTTTCCCACCTATCCTCTTTTTCCTTACACATTTTTTTGTGTAATCATATTATCATTTCTCAATCTATACTTTATTAATTTACACAAAATTTTCTGTCACTTATCTATAAATAGAAATTCATTTAACATAATTTAATTATTTCTATAT